CAGGTAGCCAGGGCAAGGTGCTTTCCCACCCATGGAGGCATGGTGCTCAGCTAGCAGGGGACAAGAGCGGAGGGAGGAAAGGTCTCCTGGGGGGTGTGCAGGTTACTCTAGTTGGTTCAGTACTGGCTGAGTTCCTACCTAGAGGAGCAAGGTGAACTCTGAAGACAGGCAGCCTGGGGTAAAGCTCAGCCCTGCAGCACCCCAGCCCCAGGGTTTCTAACTCCTTTTTGCCTCAGTTTCTTTGTCTATAAAATGGGGATTAAAAATAGTACCCAAACCTCACACCCTTGTTGGGGATTTTGAATAAGTCAATATATGTGAAGTGCTTGGAACAATGCCTGGCGCATAGTAAATGCCTTTATAATCATTATCCATTATTGTCTATCATCCACTACCATATGTCTTTATAAGTAGAGTGGTCTTAAAATGACCATCAAACACAGTCTGGTTTAGTTAAATACCAGAACAGAAAGTACAGTCGGCCCTCAGCATCCATGGGTTTCCCATCCGAGCATTCAACCAACCACGGATCAAAAATGTTCAGAAAAGAAAATAAAAGAAATAACAATATTATAAAAAATAAAACAAATAAAAAATAATACATATAACAACTATTTACATAGCATTAGGTTACATGCAGATACCATACCATTTTATATAAGGTATTTGAGCATCTGCAGATTTTGGTACCCGAGGAGGGTCTTGGAACCAAGGATGACTGTAGTATGTGCTTAATGCAGAGTTAAATCCTGAACACCTATGGGCCGGCCTGGTGGCGCACTCGGTAGAGTGCGGCACTTGGGAGCGCGGCGGCGCTCCCACCGAGGGTTCGGATCCCATGTAGAGACCGGTCCGCTCACTGGTTGAGCGCAGTGCGGGCGCAACACCGAGGGTTGCGATCCCATTACCAGTCACGAAAAAAGACAAAAAAAAACAAAAATCCTGAACACCTATAAATAGACTATCTGCTCTTCAAATAATCCTTAATATTCAAAGCAACACACTGGCTTTTGGGACTGAAGTATGTGTGTGTGTGTGTGTGTGTGTGTGTGTGTGTGTGTGTGTGTGTGTGTGTGTGAGTTCTTTAAATATAAAAGACAGGCCAAACTAAGCTGTAAACTCGACTGTATGGTAACCTTCCAAACCAGCAAAAACTAAAGACGCATAGGTAAGTTCTTACTGCTTTATGTTGGGTTAAAAGACTCTTTTGTTGCTGTCTTTCCGGCACTGAGTCGGGAGTCAAGGATGCTATAAACTGTTTCACAGTAGCCTGGATTTTTAAACAAGCAAGGGAGGTCTGTTCAGGAAAACCGAAGGGTCAAATAAGGTATTTAATAGCTGGGACTCTTTCTCATTCATATGAATTATACTAAGCATGATTTTCTTTTTCACTTGAAGAAAAACTATAAAAGTATTCACTTTATTCTTCCCTATTTAATACACACAGGTTTTTAAGTGATTTTGCTCAGGCAGATGTCACTGGTCATGAGCCTATTTACCTTCCTTTAATTGAAGAAAGGTTCTAAGTGGATTAAAACCATTTGTGCCCAAGAGTAGGTAAGAATGTCTTTGATCTCCTCCATGTGTTTGACTATCACAACAGAGACCCAAGTGCAATTTCTATGTTCACCCAGTGCTATCTCGGAGGACTCTAACAAGCATTCTCTTTTGCAGAAAGTACCCTTCATTAAGTTAAGTGATTTTCCCCTTGCCCTTGCATTTAGATTTAGCATTCACTGAAAGCCACCTATGACAGGCCTTGTCCTGTGTGGACTACTGGAGAGATGGGTTAGACACTGTTTGGGGGCTTGGTCTGTTCTGGGGGTGGAGTACATGATAGGCTATAAATAGATTGCTCAGCAAGAGCTGGTAGTGCCTTGGAGCAGGGGGACCTTGCCCCTCAATCCTCACCCCTGCTCCCCCCCACCCATGAGGTCCCCTCTCTCCTGGTGGGCTCCCTGACTTTCTCCATGCTACTAAGGATGTATTACCTCTCAGGTGGATCCAGACAGAGACAGGCTAAGTTGACAAACCCCACAGTCCCTAGATATACAGTGTCCAGAGTAGAAATGCCAATGTATCGCTTGGGGTTCCCTTTGGCTGGTCCTTTTTCACATCACATATGAACTTTCTTCAAATTACAGAGAGTCTGCGACAGCTCCCCTGATGGGGACTGCTGCTGGCGTGTCTGTCCTCATGGCCTGGGCTCCTCCGCTGCAGCCCTCACTGCGCTGTGCTGTTGGCCTTTCTGCTCCTTTCAGCCTGACACTGACTACAAGGGTGGCAGGGACTGTGGTGCATCTGCTGGGGCAGTGTGGGAGAGCAGCTCACCAAAGGGACACTGCAGATGACTGGGCAGGTACTTGGGGTACAGTGGGATGCAAGGCTGGTTTCTGAGCACAGGGAGGGAATCTGCAGAATGGGTGGCCCATGTGACTCCTGCTGTAATTGCCAGTGAGGACCTGTCTCCCTGAACCATGACCATATCCCAGGAGAGGGGTGCATCCCAGCTCAGGGCTGGAGACAGACAGAAGTGTCTGTCTGCTCTTCATTCCTGCCCCCACACGTGACAGGGGTGGACGCATCAACACCCCAGCCCCTCTGACTCAGGACCCCGCAGAACACTGCTCTAGACATGGCAGGCATGGCAACAGTGCCTGCTAACATCCAGGAAACACAGTCCTCTGACTTTCAGTCACACCAGGGTGGCATTTCCCTTCTACTGAAGGGGAAAGGAAGCTAAACATATACCGGGCGGTGCACACAGGACAGGCATATAAAGAGGCTGTCTCTCTCTTTCTCTCTCTCATTCTACTCTTCACCATGGGAAGCTGCTGAGGCCAGGTTTCAGGCCTTCAGAAAGTCCTAGGATTCCACTAGGAATCAGAGGATGAAACCAGAATGAGCGCAAGAGAGTGGATAGCTGGACAGAGAGATGTCTGTGGAGAGGGAGCAGCTAGAAAAAAAGGAAAAACGTGTGGGGACACTTCCTTTTCATTTTTAAGCCAAGTGATCCAACTGCTAGAGCAAAGCTAAACAAGAGCCCTGGTGAGGGGAACTGGCCATAACCGCGGGAGGGCCCTCAGCAGCCCTGGTTCAAATGACAGTCAGGAGGCAGGCAGGACTCGCTGCAGAGCTGGCTGGAGCTCCCTGCAGGAGATAAGCCAGCGGCATCAGCGAGGCAGCTCCCTGTCACGTGGCACTGCCCTGATGTCCTCGGGAACAATCGAGTTGTGGAGTTAAGCAAGTGGCTTGAGACAGTAGGTTGGCTGAATATTCCATAAACAGTGAATGTGCTTAAAGGTGAAGATGATTTTTCTCCTAGAAACAGAAGTCTGATTTCCCCCCTCTTGGATTTACAGAGTCCTCACTTCCCTCAAAGGACAGGAACAATGTCACACTGTATGTTACGGCGGGTTCCCTCAACCTGTGCTGTCTAGACTGTGCGCTTTCACTTAAAAAACAAAATAAAATAAAAATAAAAACAACCATCCGCCACCTAGGCACCACTCTACCATCTTAAAATGACTTCTGGCAGGAGAAGAATGCTTCATTCAGGAGTGCCCTGGCCTGCTGGGGAGCCCAGCGGTGTGTGGGGTGGGGGGTGGGGGGAGCTGCGGGCCATGGCCTTGGTCACAAGTCAGAAACCAGACTCTGGAGCCCAGTACCTCCTCCCACAGTGTTTACTTATCTGTGCTGCAGGCACTTTCCAACAAACAAAGCAAAAGAAAGCAAAAGGTCTTCTTTATCTCAGAGCATCTCCCACTTTCTTTTGAATTTCACCTTCTAAAGCTCCCCCGAGAGAACGATCCTTTAAAAACTCCAGACTGAGACTTGCCTGCTGGCCAGCTGACCTGTGAGGCCTTGCTGTGATCGCCCAGTGGTCAGTCTGCACAGTTAGCCACAGGATGGGAGAGTAATTTTTCAAAAGATCCTTCTATGGATATTCATCCTGTTATTTAGCCAATAAATACTTTCTGAATTCCTACTGTATACAAGGCATCTGTGGGAAACTTTTCTCAACATTTTGTGGCAAAAGAGCATATTATAAGAGGCAGACGTAATTCAAGGAAGAAAGAATCAGAGACAGTGATCTGTATTTGTTGATAAAGCAACGTATCACTTTCAATCACCGCATCATCTCTTTCGAACACACATTTTCCAAAGGGAACAAACACTTGTTTGTAGCTAGAAATGCTCTCCATTCTTTATCAGATATTAAGGCCTAGGGAAGCACCACTCTCTTTCTTAAAAAGAATAGCTGCAATGGCAAAATTCAGGAGAATAATCTGATTTCCTCTCCTACTGGGGAAGGGTTTTTGCCATCTGACTTACTTTACAGCCCTTTTTTTAAAAAATTAAAATTTCAGTGGATAAACGTAACTAATTTAGAAAAATTTACTCCAAAGGGCAATGCTGGGGATTGTCCTAACAATGGAGGAAAGATGAAGCCAAGGTCTTGCTTAAAAAATCCCAGCGCTCGAACCTTAAGAAGGTTGCTAAAAGCAACGCAGAGCTGCTAGCATGTTGGATAAGAAGTGCAGATGCTACCGCTCCTGTGCACCCAACGGATTCACACTGCGGGCTCTCAGGGCAGGTAGGCTGGGCTGGAGCTACAACTCCAACCTCTAGCGGGTGGGACAGAAAGGACACCTGTGGCTGCTCCTAAGTCACCCTGCTGAGTGGGTGGATCCCTGGTCTAGTTGGCTATGCTAAACATCATAGATAGGAATTTCCAATACAAGGCCCTGGGATACAGGTGGAGAGACCGACTCCCTATCATGGAGCAATCTGCTGCAAAAGAGGAAGAGGCCTCAAAGTGATTGGGAATTGAGAAGCAATTCCCTTCCAGCCACACAATCCACAGGAGAAAATGCAGACGCATACAGACATGCACCGCCACGTGTACATGCACAGGAATGCGTGGGTCCACACCCCCCCCACACACCTGACAGCAGAGTCAGGTCCGACATGTCACCAGGGCTGCAGCGGAGCCTCACCTGGGCCTCTTGTCGACCACGGCCATGCACGTGTGCTGGGACGGCACTGCTGTCCACTTCTTCGCCTCCACCACCAGGGCTTCCGCATCCACCAAGCCAAATCCATAGAAATGGCTAACTGAAAAGACAGGGCCTTCAGAGCCGGCTCTCCTGCCCCCGCCCAGAGAGAGAGCAGGGCTGGCTCTCAGGCTCTGCTGGGTCCCAGGGAGGACAGAGCAGCACTGTCGCCTCGAGGGCTGCTGAGAGCCCAAGCTGCAGGACCCATCCCTCTGAGGGCAGCTCAAAGGTCCCTGCTGCTTTACTCTCTGAACCGGGCTCCCCCTGCTTAGGATGTGGGCCAGGAGTGCGTGCCATCTTGGTACAGAGTAGGAGAAGTGCTGAGCAGGCCTAGGACTTTCTTTTTTTGAGATGAGGACAGGTTTCTTTATACAAAAGGACTTGTCAGCATCTGGGCTCCCTCAATCTTAGACCAGACAAGAGAAACAAAATCTGAGACCTTTTGGTCCACCTGACAGCGATGTGTGATAAACACAACGAAACAGGCCGCACTCATCCTTTTGGCCATTTTCTCTCCCTGTGGCATTCCCAAGCAGCCAGGGACAGCTGCGCGGCAGAGCGCATACGCGAGAGTGCTGTGAACTGGCCGGAACCAGTGTTTGATTTGGCCAAGGCCAGAGCATTCCAAAGTTTAAGGGGCAAGGTCAAGAACCAGATCTTATCTATTTTCCTATTTAATTAGGCCAAAATTGAAATGTAGGTCAACTCTTGTTACAGCACACCACTACCACAACGTTCCTACAAAACAAAGACAAACTAGGTCCAGTCAGTAGCCTCTTTATTAAAAGGAACGTCCCTTGGCACATATAGTAACAGGCCTGACCTATATTTTACAGATAGTAGTATCAGATTTGGTGTCAAAATAGTTGGATCTGAGCTTCAAACAATGTTAAAAAGTCCTCCCTGACAAACCATGGCTGGATGAAATCTTTTTCTAGCATCTCTGTTTAGAAATCAGACAAAGCCAGTGGCACAGCCATACAATTATCTGCTTCAGAGACCCAAATATCTGGGTTAATCAAGCCCTGACTATGGGTGAATTTCATAGTACCTGCATCTGTACAGGCTGGGCTGGAGATGGAGGCCCTGCTCTCCCTGTGAGTTGCTTTTACGACATAGTGGCTAGCCAACAGAAGTTTTATAGCTGCAAAGTAACTTACATAACTATCTCAGCATCCTCATACAGATGAGGAAACTGAGGGTGAGTTTCAAAATCACAGAGCTACTCAGAGCTAAGGATGCAAGTTGCCCACACAAATGAACATCATTTATTTTAATAATTATGGATGTGTTTTAATGTGCATTAGAAAAAAAAATGTAACTACATATCAAACCCATGATTAACTAGATGTAATAAAGTTTCATTTCAAAACACATTTCTTTATGTAAAAACAAAAAGTGGGGGAGTCATTTAAAGAGAACTATTATGTAAATACTGGCACAAGTGGTCTCTGGATGTGGCAAAAGTTATGGTGTTTAGGGAACCCTGGACTCTGAGGACTTAATGTCAATGCAAGATTCTAGGAGGCTTTTCTTAAATCACTGCATATGTGTTTTTAATTCTTATGACACACAATAATATCAATTAGTGTTATTTTGGGGATTCCTTTTAAGGAATTAGTAGCACCCCTTAATACACATGCCAGGGGTCACCCAGAGGGTCTGCTAGGACGCAGTGACATGCTGATCCTCACCCAGCTCTCCAGGAACACCTGCCTCACCTTTATAACCAGCACCGTTGATCTTCCAGTCGCTCGCTTTCAGGTGAGCCGGCCGGGATGTCTTCACTAGCAGGTGCTGCACGTCCCTCCAGGTTAGCTGGCTGCTGCAATGACACAATAGACCGCGGAAGCCCGCCAGGTCCATGAGGACGGCCGCACAGTCCCAGTCAGAGGTGGTGCATCAGGAGCAGCCCAAGCCTGGACTTGAGCAAGCCCTCGGGCTAACAATCGTGGTCCTTGGCAGGGGTTTATTTCACAGCCTCTTTGTAAAGAATAGTTTCCAGCAACTAGTTCCTGAGATAAAATAGTACAGGGGTGACCTAAAATTCAGAAACATTAAACACCCAGCCTTGTTGCCAAGTCCTACTTGAGTTTAGACAGGGCCATAAAGGAAATTTTGGAAGTAGAGAGAAGAAAATGTTTAATGTAACAGTATATGGTTATTAAGTGTTTGGGACTGTTCTTCACCATAATGAGCAAATGCTAGCGTGCACTTCAGTACACCCAAGCCATGATGGGCCCAGATTCCTTCTACGTGGATCCACCGGCTACAGACTGTAACTTGAGATTTTAGTAATTTGAGATTTACAAGACATTCATTTTGTAGCAAAATAGAAACATTTCATTAAAAGAACAAATGCCCACTGTGTGAATGTAAGTACACAGGTCATATTTCTTTGATTTTAAGATACATTTGCCAACCTTTTTTACCACCTCCGGAATCAGGATCCATCTCTGTCCACAGCAATCAGGACCTGCTTACACTGCCTGAGGATGCTGAACTGGGTCCTGGCTACTCACATGGTCATTTGCAGGTCTCCATAACTCTTAGCCTAAAAGAACTCTTCGATAATTACAAAAATTCTAAGAGGTGTGGAAGTATTGCATCATTGGTAGCACTTCTGGTTTCTGTGCTAGTACATAAAAAGGGTACATCTTACAATCTATAGCATCGTGGATTCAATGATATACAGTATTTTTCATACTATCTCTAGGCAGAGAGTAGTATAAAATAAAATCATTATTCCTTTCTTCTAATCAGTATTAACTGTCATGAAATCTAGATATTTGAATGTAAAGCTTTCTGCAAGGCTGCTTTAAAATGTACCTATAACACCTACATAAGAGTCACCAATAAAGGAAATAGATTTTTGTTGTATAAAACTAATGGCTGAATGAAAAGAAAAGATGTATAGGTTTATGGTTCCACGCACAATAGAGAAATTTTTATACATATTTTATTCCTTTTTTTTTTTTTTTGTCTTTTTCCGTGTCCGGCAACGGATCGCAACCCTCAGTGTCGCCCCCGTACCGGACCGGGACCGGCAACGGGATCGCAACCCTCGGTGTTGCTCCCGCGCCTCGCTCAGCCAGTGAGCGGGAACCGGTCTGTATGTGGGATCCGAACCCTCAGGCGGGAGCGCCGCCGCGCTTCCCAAGCGGTACACTATCCAGTGCGCCACCGGGCCGGCCCATATTTTATTCCTTTTCTAGCCTATTAAATTGACACATATCTAAGACCTTTTAATCACCCAGAAAATTAACCAAGAATGAGCATCTCTCATGTCCAGGTTTAACTCCCTAACATCCCAAATGCATGTATTATCCTTCCCAGACTCTTGCCAGGACTTGTGAGTGCTGACAACGAGGGAACGACCCTGTGCCAGGTCCGGGAGCTGCCCCCACGTGCGTGCTTCTTTACTAGACACGCCTGTGACACGTGTGCTCTCACAGCAAGCACAAGCCTAGCAATGTGGGGCACAAGTAGGACCCAGAGCAGCTGCTGTGGCTGAGAAGGGTTGTGGACAAGGGTCAAAATGCTGAAGCACCAACAAGGCCTTCGCCACATCCTCACGAGGGAGCTGCCCCGACCCACACTAGCCTCAACCATCTTTCCAGTTGCCCACTGAGTGCGGGCGTGTGCCTGTGGTGAAATGTGCATAACCTGAAATTTACCAGTTTAACCATTTTTAAGTATATAGTTCTGTGGCACTAAGAACATTCACATTGTTGTGTAACCATCACCACCGTCCATTTCTAGAACTCTTTCATCTTCCCAAACTGAAACTCTGAACCTATTTATCACTGACTCCCCAGTGCCCCCTCCCCAGCCCCTGGCAACCACTATTCTACTTTCTGTCTCTATGTATTTACGACTCTAGGAACCTCATATAGGTGGAATCACACAGTATTTGTCCTTTTATGTCTTGCTTATTTCACTTAGCACAATGTCTTCAAGGCACATCCATGGTGAAGCAAGTGCCAGAATTTCCTTTCTTTAACAAGGCTGAATACTATTCCACTGTATGTGTAGACCACATTTCGCCGATCCATTCATCCATCCATGGACATTCAGGTTGTTTCCATCTTTCAACTACTGTGAATCACACTGCTATGAACATGGGTGCACACATATCTGATTCCCTGATTTCAATTTTTGGGGGTGTATACTCATGAGTGGAATTGCTGGATCACATGGTAACGCTACATTTAATCTTTTCAAGCACTCGCCATACTGTTTTCCACAGCAGCTGCTCTATTTTACATGTCCATCGCTCACCTCCTTTGCCTGTTTTCCTACAGGGAGCTCACCAGGGCGTGAGTCTTGGGGTACACTTCTCCCTTGGGGCACACATGGTCTAGGCTGCAGCCCTGGCCTCCCTTGATATCTGTAATGGGTTCTCGCTGCTGTGCCAGTCGCTGGACACTCACCAGCCTCCTTGCTGTCTCGCCCCAGCCATGTCCCTAGGCCCAGTGTCCAGGCCTTTGCCTGGCACAGGCTGACCTGCTGTCCCCTCTCATCCACAGCCCTCTTGAGGGCACACTGGCCAACCTCACTGTTAGAGGAGGCCCTGGTGGGTGGCCACGGGCACAGGCTCTGGAGTTCAGAAACAGCAGACAAGGCCACACCCTTGCTGCAACCCGGCAGGTTACTGCTGCATGTCAGTGGGGCACGCTCAAGGATGGCGAAAGCCAGTCCTCCTGGAAGTTTAGCTGTTTGGTACCATGAAGTATGAGCTTCAGAGCTGAGTACGGAATGGGTCCAGAAAGGGAGAAAGTTAGAAATCCTTTTATAATGAGGAAATCCATTTTATTTTTTTATTTTATTTATTTATTTTTTTTGTCTTTTGTCTTTTTCCGTGTCCGGCAACGGATCGCAACCCTCAGTGTTGCCCCCCTACCGGACCGGGGACCGGCAACGGGATTGCAACCCTCGGTGTTGCTCCCGCGCCTCGCTCAGCCAGTGAGCGGGAACCAGTCTGTATGTGGGATCCGAACCCTTGGGCGGGAGCGCCGCCGCGCTTCCCAAGCGGCGCACTTATCCAGTGCGCCACCGGGCCGGCCCGAAATCCATTTTATTTTTGACTCTACTAATAAAACCATAAATATAACTGCTTTGAAAATACATCTAAGAAATGGTGTTGAAAATATTTTTTGATGAAGAAGGGGTGAATGGGAAGTCCCAAGCCCACCCCAAACTGTGAGACCACCTTTGACAATTCTGACACACGAAGTTCTTTCTTCATTCTCATCGCATGCTGCCCTTAGGCACTCCCTGTGCCTCCTGGGAGCTTTTCTGCCCAGGACACCTGGCTTTGCCCTAGTTCCTGCTCCAGTGGCAGTGCACAGAAGAAAGCAGCAATGCCATGGCCATGCAGCCCAGGCGTGTCACTACACACACCTCCACATCTACACTCAGGCATGCAGGCTCCTTGGACATCATTTGCTCCTGCTTGACCAATCCTGTAAGTTTAAAATGCTCTAAGTGACACTGTTGTAAATGATTTGCCACCTGCACATTTATGAGGAGGTACTAAAATGATGAGGACAATGACATCTGAGTTTCATGTGTCCAGCGGCCAACTCTAATGGGACAACCTGGCACGGAGTGGGATTTGTTCTCTCTTCAGTTTCAACTAACAAAAATCCTTTCTTGTTTCCAATAAGGAATGGAAAATACAGAGTGATGAAAACGTAAGTGTGCAAATGCAACCTGCCATACAAGAACTAATTATTTTGGGTCGGCCAGGTGGCGCACTGCTATAGTGCGCCGCTTGGGAGTGCGGTGGCGCTCCCGCCGAGGGTTCGGATCCCACATACAGACCGGTTCCCGCTCACTGGCTGAGCGAGGTGCGGGCGCAACACCGAGGGTTGCAATCCCGTTGCCGGTCCCGGTCCGGTACGGGTGTGACACTGAGGGTTGCGATCCGTTGCTGGACATGGAAAAAGACAAAAAAAAAAAAAAAAAAGAACTAATTACTTTGAATGTTTTAAAAGAGCCTCAGGACACAGAAGCTAACATTTTGCCTGGAAAGTGAAAATATTTAGCTGTTTGTTAAATTGGTAGCATTTGAGTGGTATGCTTTTTTGCCTTGTGCAAACCAACATGCAAACGTACATAACTACAAGGCTTTAAGCATCCCAAACATTCTTTTGGAATCTTTTAAAAATTCATCTACAACAAATGACAAGAGCAAACAGCCAGGCTGTCCTGCACCTGTTTTGATGTTTAAACTAAAGTTTGTTTTTAACCCCACGACCGCATGTGCAGTTAACTCTCTTTGCTTTCTGACCCAGCCATACACGAACAACTCTAGTGTTTTCATTTGGCTAATGACAGACAAAGACATTTTATTGTCAATTTATGAACTACAGTTCCTGAAGGGCAGCTGCAGCAGCCTCAAGTGTGATTTTGGTGTGTGGTGTGGATGGGAGGCAGGCTCAGGGTGTGGCCCAACCGGCCCCCAGCGTCCTACAAAGGGCAGGAGGCTGTGGGCTTTAAGAAGAGAAGAAGCTGCGTCACACCCATTAGGAAGGCCTGAAAAAGGAAGGAAATTCTGATGCATGCTGCAGCACAGATGAACCTTGAAGACATTATGCTAAGTAAAATAAGCCAGTCACAAAAGGACAGATGCTGCATGATTCCACTTATATGACATACCTAGAATAGTCAAACTCATAGAGACAGGAAGGAAAATGGAGGCTACCAGGGGCTGAAACAAGGAGGGAAGCGGAAGTGTTCAGGCCAAATTGTGCCCGCACGCCCTGCAAATTCATATGTCAAAGTCCTAAGCCCCAGAACTTCAGAATGTGACTATATTTGAAGATAGGGCCTTTTAAAAGGTAATCAAGGTAAAATGAGGTTATTAGGGTGGGTCCCAATCTGACATGACGGGTATCCTTATAAGAAGAGGAAATCTGGATACAAACATGTACACAGGAAAGACCATGTGAGGACACAGGGAGAAGATGGCCTTATCCAAGCCAAGAAGACACCAACTCTGCAGACACCTTGATCTAGGACTTCCAGCCTCCAGGGCTTCAAGAAAATAAATGTCTGTTGTTTAAGGCACCTGGTCTCTCTTCTGGTTACTCTGTGATGGCAGTCGAGCAGAATAATACACTCAGTTATTGTTTAATGGGTATAGGACTTCAGTGTGGGAAGATAAAAAGGTTCTGCAGGTAGACGGTGGTGATGGCTGCACAACAGTGTGAATCTGTAGCTGCTCTCCCCTTGCGATGCGGTCACATCCTGATAGATGCATCATAAGTTGAAAATATCCTAAGTTGAAAATGCATTTAATACACCTAACCTACCAAACATCATAGCTTAGCCTAGCCCACCTTAAATGTGCTCAGAACACTTACAATAGCCTACAGTTGGGCCAAATCATCTAACACAAAGCCTATTTCTTAATACGGTGTTGATATGCAGTTTTGATTTTACAGAGAAATTGAGCAAAAAATACAGATAGTTCCCATTACCCACATATACAGTTTCTCCTATTATTGACATGTTACCTTAGTGTGGCATATTTGTTACAGTTATGAATCAATATTGATATATTCTTGTTAATAATTTTATATTAGTGTTCCCTCTTTGTACCATACATTTCTATGGGTTTTGCCTAATGCGTGATGTCTTGCATTCACCATTATGGTATCACAGAGAATAGTTTCACTGCCCTAAAAATCCTCTGTGCTCCACCTATTCATCCCTCTTTCCCCCCCCTTACCCCTAAAACCCTGGCAACCAATGATTTTTATTTTTGCACTATCTCAAACGTTTCTCATTTCTTTTTGTTGGAAATATTCAAAATCCTCTCTTCTAGCTAATTGAAATGTGCTCAGAACACTTACATTAGCCTACAGCCAGGCAAAATCATCTAACACAAAGCCTATTTTATAATAGTGTTGAATATCTCATGCCATTTATTAAACACTGTACTGAAAGTTAAAAGCAGAATGGCTGTATGGGTACTCCAAGTACAGTTTCTACTAATGGCTTTGGCAAATTGTAAAGTTGAAAAATCATACCTTGAACCATCGTTAAGTCGGGACCGTGTGTGCTTAATGCCACTGAAATGTATACTTAAAAATGGTTAAAATGGTGAATTTTACATTACATGTATTTTACCACAATATAAACATTTTTTAAAAAGGAGAAGGGAGGAAAGTGGGCACTTACTTTGCTTCTAGCGCCAAGGCAATGACGCCGGCCACCATGGGGGCCGAGACTGAGGTGCCAGTGTGGCCATCGGTACAGCGCTGCCGCAGATCCGTGGTGACCTGCATGAGAGGATGGCACAATGAGGCACTGGCAGAAAGGCCCGTTCGCTCTCAGGAGAAGGCTAGGCTACTCGAGGTGCTGCTAACTGGCAGGGGTGACCCTGGACCCCAGGAACAGAAAAGGTGTTCAGCGAACCTGTCTCGGCCAGCACAATGTCTGCAATATGTGGTGCTTCCTGCTGAATGGCTTTGCAGTCATGTGCAAAATGTGGACAGGGTGATCTTGGGGTGGGAACAGGGAGACAAGGCAGGGAAGACAAGCAGCCAGAGCCACCTGCTATGAGCTCTGATAAGGCACTGGCTCCTTCCATCACTACTGCACAAGTGCGTGCCGAGAAACATGCATGGCACAGGGAGACCAAGAGGGGCCCTCCACAGGCCGTTCTCCTTGGGTCTAATTGTCACTAATGTCCGAGAGTCCCTGAGGCAAGACCACCTGCCAGAGCCAACTTCAGCAACCCCCAAATCTCCTCCTGACTTCAGAGCAGCTGAAGGTGCTCAGGTGGCCAGAGAGGGTCTTTGCCTTTCACCAGGACAACATAGTCCGAGTTTCCCACCAGGACATCCTCCTCAGAAAGCTGACACGTCCTGTGCCCAAAGCACCCTGGTTCCATCTGCAGAAACAGATGAACCTTAGCACCCTTGGCCCCCCAGGGCCTGCTGAGCGGGACAATGCGGTGGCTCTTCTCTTTGAGAAGGGCAGGCGGCTCTGCCAGCTGATGCGCTCTGCTGCCCTACCTGAGGTGCTGCCTCTGGAGAGGTGAGGGTGTGAATCTGGGACCTCCCTGCTGCTTGGCTGGATTCGTGTTTCCCTTTTGAACAGAAATAGGGAGCAGCAGCCATGGGACCTGCACGGGTGGGCTCAGCTGTGCTAGACAGGATTGTGGCCCCCATGGTCTTTGTCCTCAGTGTTGCTCCCGTGTGCTATGCAGATGGAATTAAGGTTGCTAACCAGCTGACCTGAAGTCAGGGAGATTATCCTGGATTATCTGAGTGGAAGGGGAAGGCAGCAAGGGTGCCCTAGAGAGCAGGCATAAGAAGGACTCAGCCTGTTGCTGCTGGTTTCAAGGAGTTGGAGGACACAAGACGAAGAATGGGGGTGACCTTGAGAAGCTGAGAATGGTCCTCACTGACAGCCACAAGGGAACGGGAACCTAGGTCCCACAGCCACAGAGAACTGAATTCTGCCGACAACCTGAATAAGAAGGAAATAAATTCTCCTGCAGAGCCTCCAGGAGGGAAGACAGCCCTGCCAGCACCTTGATTTTAGCCTTGTGAGACTCGACGCAGAGACCCCATCGAGGCTGCTGCTGGACTTCTGACCCACAGAACTGTGAGAAGTTAATCCGTGCTGTTTTAAGCTGCTAAGTTTGTGATCATTTATTAAGGCAGGGTCTAATATACCCACCCACCTACCACAAGGCTGCAATAGCCAATTTGCACAACCCTTGAGAATAAATTTCTCCACTGGTGATAAATCCAGATCCTCTTCCAAACTGAGCATCTTCCCTGGGCACATTTTAGCTGGCTGGTAATTCCTGGTGGAGGGGGGTCTGGCCTGTGTCACACATGCACAGGAAAATTTGACAGAAACGCTAACAGAGACCAGTTCCCCTGTGCCCATCCGACAGGGCTGAGGTGCCTGCAGCTGAGGGTGAGGGAAAAGGGACAAGAAAGCAGCCCCTCTGTCCTCAGCATCTCTATATGCAAGTGGACACAATGATATGTACTTCATGGGGCTTCTGTGCAGATCACAGCCGGGCACCTACAGGTACTTGTGCTTGGTAAATGGTGACCAGTGAGGGAAACTAGGGGTGGCTGTGCAGGGGCCAAGCTCTCGAGAGCATGTGTTGCCCACGGCTGGCCCTCCAGCCTCAGCGAAGGGGGTCCTGGGGAGGCAGCAAAGGGGCCTCCCCCAGAGAGGGATTGCGGAACCAAGTAGTTAATGAGTCCTAGTGCCCTGCCTGGAACACGGCTCGGTGAATGTTCGGTGAATGAGCAGACCCTCGTCTTTGGGTGAGAAATGCCTGCTTTAGGTTTTACGCTTTTTATTAAGAGTCTTGTCTCACCACAGGCATCCCTCGCTACAGGTGGATGCTCACTGGCATTCACCAGGAAGAGAGGGACGGAGAGCACAAGGGGACAGAGCTCTGACTGCAGCCACAGACCTGCCTGAACTCTGTCCAGAGCAGTACGTGTCCCCTTGTGGGATGTCCAGGAGGACTCAGAGCAAAAACTGGGCTCTGGTAGAGCTGGAAAAAATGCCATCCGTACTGTCAGGGTAGAGTTCCAGGACAGCATATATTTCCTCTTTTAGTCTTCTCTCAACTACACTCTTCTTACCCACCCATATTGCTCCAAGAGGAGAATTAAGAAAAATAAAATAAAAATAAGAGAAACCATTTTGTAGCTAAGGCATGTGCACACACATGCACAAACAAACACACACATGCTGGTGTGACTAATGAAGCAAATAAAGCTGCACACCCTGCTTTCAGGGTTGAGAGACACCGGCCCATGGTACAAAGTGACCAATAACACGAGCTCCAACCTGCACCCGTGTGGCCAGCAGGCCTTTGTCAGGTTTTGTTCGGCACAAGCGTCTGTTTAATGAGACTCCAGCAAGTCCGCATTCCAAGGAGCTGGATTTCTAAATGAACAGGGCACCATTCAGAACCTCAGCTGCTCGTCCTAGGGACGCATGCTCCAGTAAAAAAGGAAATAACAACTTAAATTAATACCTTAGTTAACCAGCCCAGGCTGCTGCCAGGCTGGCGGCAGAATGATGGTGTCTGAACTTTCACTGGTGCAGAGCAAAGCGGAGAACAGGAAGCCTGTATGCTCCCCCAGAAAAATGTAAAAATAAGTTTGTAAATAATTTCTAAAGATGTGGCTAAGCAGCAGGAGAAATGAAATGACGCTAGCAAGCTTTAAAATTAAACCATGTCTGGCTAGCTCCATGGTCTCATTTTTTAAATGTCCAAAAACCAATTTAAGGATTATGCATTTGAATTCTGTATTAATTTGGACTGGAAACCCTCCTTTCCTCCTTTTTTTTTTTTTTTAAGTATGTATGGAAGGAAGAAGCTCAAATTCTACCCATAAACTAAAACGGTTACCTTCTAAAAGATAAGTCACACTCATGTTCACTTAACAGAGCATAACAGACAGACACCACCACTCAACTTAAGTGTGCAGGATCCATCCTTTTGCAGCAGCAGAATGCCTAGAAGAACCCTTGAATTTCTAGAATGTTTCAGTGTAAAATCAAGACTTTCTCTTACTCTGTTTTACATGTTGGAACTGGACTGGTCAATTGGATTCCAAGTGATGTGACCACAGAATTTTAGAGAGCTAAAACTGGATGTGATGAGAACAAACCCCATTCTTAAATGATATTTTTAGATCTCTAAAGCCAGAAAGGGTTTTAATTGGTATTTCTGTGCAAAGATTAGAAAGGCAGAGTCCAAGGAAGGCTGCCAGGGGACTGGAGTTAACCTCGAGGCTCGAGTAGTTCACTGAGGGGGAGGTTGGAACCCTGGGATCCAGGGCGATCTGGCCTTGACCTAACTCATCTTTTTGTTAAGGGGAAAAGGTACTCATCCCCAGAGGGCCAAGACACACATTATAAACCCTCCAACTTGCTGAGAGAACTTACAATTTTCCGCTCATAAAAGGCCCCGCTGCTGTAGGTTGTGGCCAGGGTGGAGGCGCACTCTTCCAGGTACCAGGGCTTGTAGCCATTCTCGGTGGTGCTGCTCACGGAGATGGTGTAGATGCTGTTGGTGTAGCCGTCACAGGAGCAGTGGTCCCCGTCCCTCCCGCCGTTCCCAGACGCCCAGACAAAAATGGAGCCCAGGCCCTGCCGGCCCTGGAGGGGAACAGGAAGAACAAAGCGTCAGCCCTGGCAGCTAGAACCTGCACGGTACACCCCACATCCTGGAATCCCACCTTCTGAATGCTCCCTCAAAAGCAGTGAGGAGGACACATTCAGACCCCGATGCCCCAAGAGCGTGGTTTCATGGGCTGATTTTTTTTTTTAAACAAATAACTGCAATCTTTTAATAAATTCCATGGAACAGTTTTGCCTGTGGCAACAGCCTTAAAACTGCAGATCACAGGGTTATAGGAAAGACAAGGGCCAGAAACTCCTCTGTCCTTCACACAAAAAATATGGGGCCCTCACACAAGCGGTTCTATTTCCTACCACTTCTGTTACAATGGTCTCCGATCACAGACCTAGCAGTGCCACAGGTAGTGCTGAGATTATAGATGATGGTGGAATTTATAACTAACTTTAATTTTCTGATGGAATAATCAAGTCGAAGGTATACCCGTTCTCCAATGTTCATCGCAGCACTATTTACAATAGCTAAGAGTTGGAACCAGCCCAAATGTCCATCATCAGATGAGTGGATATGGAAAATGTGGTATATCTACACAATGGAATATTACTCTGCTATAAAAAGGAATGAAATACTGCCATTTGCAACAACATGGATGGACCTAGAGAGAATTATATTAAGTGAAATGAGTCAGGCCCAGAAAGAGAGATATCGCATGTTCTCACTTATTTGTGGGAGCTAAAAATAAATAAATAAATACACAAACTGGGGGGGAGGGAAGAAGACACAACAATCACAATTCCTTGAAGTCGTTACAACAAGCAAAAAGATATGAGGTTGTTGGGAGGGAGGGAGGAGAGGGAGAGGGGAGGGAGGTTTCGGTAATGGGCCACAATAATCAACCACATTGTATTTTGATAAAATTAAATTAAATTAAAAAAAAAAACTTTAAGTTTTATGGATTGAAAGAGCTGGTCTTGTGAGGAAGAGAATGAATTTTCCTGAAGACATGCCTGAAGAGATACCCTTCTTAGAGAGCAAGCTAATTTTGCAGGGGGATAGAACCAGGAATTCTGGGTGAAGCCTGAAGAGGTCAAAACAGTATGTTCCAGGATGCCGGTGGCTGCTCGTGGGTGTCCTATTAGAACTCCTTGAGGTCTCCGCCGAGGGTATGTGTTGGAGTGCTCAGATCGTCAACACCAGCCAAGGCCGGCGGCTTCACTTGTGTATAGTCTTCATTGTTAAGAAAGTACACATGTGGCTTGACAGTTAGATCAGCTGGTTAGAGTGTGGTGTGCATGGCCTTATAACACCAAGGTCAAGGGTTTGGATCCCTATACCAGTCAGCCACCAAAAAAAAAAAAAAAAAAAATGTACACATGAGAGGAAGTCTTTGAAAAACAGCAATGGGTCAGGGCAGGTTCCTGCAGCTCTGTTCTGTCCCACACTCACAGGGCCAACGATTTCTGATCAAACCCAGAAAGCATCATCCCAGCCACACACCAGCTAAATATTAGCTAATGGAAGATTGAACCGACTGATTCAGTTCAAATGGCTGGACCACAGCCAGCCCCAGAGAGCAGTGCCAATATCTGTCTCCATGTGAAACTGGACCCACTGGGCTGGCAACTTTGACATCCTTTCGGAGGACCCTCCTTTCCAAACACACACAGGAAGTTGATGCTTACGCCCAACATCTGACCAATTGAAAGATAACTTTCAATCAAACTCTGCCATCCCTGCGGAGTCCACCTGAAGCCCTACTGCCGACTGGACCCATCACTCTCATCCCTAAAGTTCAAGTCTCCCTCTGCTTTGTAAGCCCCATGCCCGCCTGCTCTGTAATCTCCATGCCACTCCACTCTGTAGACCCAGGGGACCCCAGTTCCAACATCAGGCTCCCAAGAGAGCCCACAGGAAGGTGTCCGGTGCCCACCCAGCCCCGCGGCTTGAAGCACCTTATTCTCTCTGTTTTCTGCATCTCCAAAGTAAACTTGGCCCAGAGCTCGACAGAAAGACACAGAGTACTAAGGAAATGGGCATGTCCGGGCATGTCCGTGCATGTAATTCCCTATAGGAAAAGATTAACCAGAGGCCAGTTTGAACCAACTAAAATCCAAACAAAAAGGTATTTAAGCCATCAGAGCCTATCTTTATTCCACATAAGAATCACCCCTAAGACACTGTCACTCTTAACTCCCCACCCCACTCAAAATTATTTATAAAATGTTGTCATTTTGCAAAGTAGAACATGCAATCTTATTGCTCCAGTAGCACAGAGCATGGCCCCCATGGTGCCCCTTGACTTTAATGGGCACACATCCAGTCACCTGGGAGTCCTGTTACAATGCTGTTGGGCACGCAGGTGACACGAATGCTGCTGGCCTGGACCTGCTTTGAATATCAAGGGCCTGAAATGCTAAAGGTTTGCATCTTTCCACCCTACACCGCGCATTCATTACTAGACCAATCCCTTCTCACAGGCATCAAGTACCACGGCCTCTTCCCCTTCTTCAGTTTCCAGGAAAGAGAAGAACACAAAATGAGGCAGAGGAAATACCCAGATCTGAGGTGTAAGGACATGTCTTAGCTGTCTCTGAGGATTTTATTTTCATCTTCCACATCTTCCAGTGGCTTCACACATAAGTCACAGGACTAAAGCACTTGGGGACTTTTCAACCCAAGCCATGAACTTGTCTTTCTGTTCAATAAAGCCACAGCCTCAACCCAATCAAATCCTACTTCATTGTCTTCCCTGGGGGGCAGGGGGCAGAGTTTATTCACGAGCTCAGAAGCACCACTACTGAGGGCTAGCACACACCAGCCACCTGGACGAGGCTCATGTTTTCAGCCACGGTGAGGTTTAATCTGCCCTTCCAAATGACAGCCACATGAGGAGAAAGGCCTCGGAAGGACCGGCATGCCACAGGTCTCTGTGCAGATGACAGCTTCTGAAGTCTCCTACCACATCAGCTACCAAAGATGAAATCATATTTTACAGACAAAGACCGCGGGTGACAAACCAGGCCGCAAGGAGGAGAAACAGATGTGAATGTGGTTTGGCTTGAGATCATCAAATTCTAGAATTTTCAGTGACAGCTTTAGACAGCTGTGATTTAAGGATCCCTATATGATATTTTTACTTCAGAAAGACTAAAAAAGTTTAAATGGCCTCAGTATTTCAAGAAACTGTGACAAGAATGAAGGCGAACCACATAGTCCCCCCATGACTTCTCCACTCCCCTGACAGCTTCATGAGGCCGATGCTGTTCAGAATGCAGAAGGCAAAGATCCCTTCTCTGCAGCCCCAACTTTCCAAAATCTTGCATGAGCTCCGCCTATACAAACCTAAGTGAAGAAGAGAATCCAAACAATCACTTGAAAACAATCCTCACTTTCCTGGAAACAGGGTTTCTCATTCTAAAATCTCATATCGTTAGCTCATCTCATAGAGACTACAGACTTTCAGCATTAACACCATTCAAAGCACTACGCTCCATGCAGAAAATGTGATCACAAACTCACCCACCCTCTCTGATGCTTAAGTTCAGGTAATTTTTAGGATGTCTCACTTGTCATTAAGATTAAGATCCTCGCAATGTAGTGCAGGGAGGGGGGATGACTTATTTATTCAGCAGCCCCTGGCGGGCAGCAGCTAACATGGCCATGCCCAAATCTCCAGCACCCTGCCCTCCGCAGGTGCCAGCCGTCTGCCCGAAGCCACCTCTGAGCTTTCTTGGCATCGTGGAGATAAAGGAAGCTGTTGGGGGCGGCAAGTGTGCATGCGAGGTCACACGCTGTGGATGTGTGTGCGTGTCTACACTGCCTCCTCCCTCTAGTTTTCTTCTCACACTAAGGGACACGAGAGTGGACAGCCCCATTTCGGGTCACTGGTTTCTCAGGTATTCAAGCCCTGAGCAGCTGTGGGAGAGGGCCCTGGAGGAGGAGGCCCCCGCCTCACACCTGTGGGGTGACACCACAGCCATGGGAGAAGGTGTGCCTGCCAGGAGGGGAGGACGCAGCGCAGGCCAAGGCCTAGCACAGGTAAGGAAGTGGCAGAAACTCTGGGGTCTAGTGAGCGGGGCAGCAGGGTCGGGAGCCTTCTAAGAGAAAAACACGCATGCCCCACAAGAGGAAATTCACAGACAGTGACCAAACTCAGTGCACCCAGCAAAGCAATCAAATCATATGATATAGAAAAAGGAAATCGTGAAAAAGTTAAAGAAAAGATTGGTCGTCTGCAGGGCAGGACTGAAGGTTGGGCAGAGGGACACAAAGGACAGCTGTTTTCCATATAATCCCCCAGTACTACTAGATTCATTTATTAACTATTTAATGACTGTGCATGGGTTACAATACAGTAAGAACTTTAAAAAATGTTTTAAATTATATAAATAATAAAATGGGCTTGACCGCCCCCCCCAACTTCCTACTCTCCAGTCACCACAGGAGAAGTCAGAGATGTCTGGACTTCCTGCCGGGACCACCCCTCCTGGCAGTGACTGGCCACGCCTTATGCTCTGAGCTGGGGCTTGCTGGCCACCCAGGGCTGCCCCGACACTGACCACAGCTCTGTCCACCTGCTACAAGAAGCTGTCCTCACCCAGGAATGTGCCTTGCCACCACAACTGTAAGAGCTGGTTCATCTCCAGCCATCCCTTCCTATCCCTCAGCCTTCCTGACCCACAAGGATCCAGAATGGACGATCACAGCATGGCTGGTGGGTGGCCTCCTGGGGGGAGCCTGACAGCCTTCCCAGCTTCCCCTCCGCTGGTCAGTAGAGAACCACCATCTCATATCTTTGCTCTACTTAATCCCTGGTGTCCCTGGCTGTGCATTGGGGTTGGGGGGCTGGGGATGTCGAGACTATAGCTTCCTTCTGCAGTAAGGGTGCTGGATTAGCACACACCTGTGATGGATGCAGAAAGCTCCACCGTTGGGTATTTCTGTGGGCAGATGGGTCCAGGACACCCTTTCCACCTGCACAGACGAAGGTGATCTGACTTGGACCCCTCCCACCCACCTGCACACCCCCCTCAGTTGGGGACGGCAGACTCCAGGCAGATGGCCAGCTGGTTCCTGCTGGAACAGCTGTTCTGTGACCAGACAAAACACTTCTTCTCTCGCTGGTAAACAACCAACCTCCCTGAGCCCCTCAGTGATTCCTCTCTGGTGCCGTGCCAGTTCTGTTTCAAGGCTGTGGCCTGTGTCGCTCTGATACTTGGTTGTTAAAAATATCTGCTATCACCCCCACCCAGAGCGCTCCCCCGCAGCCCTGGGTCACGCGCACCTTTTTGATGCCATACTCGAAGGCCTGCTTAGCCAGTCGGCCAGGCCCGTCCACTGTCTTGCCGTCGTCGTCCGGCCCCCAGCTGGCACTGTAAATGTCGATGTAGTTGGGTCTGATGCCCAGCGACTTTGCCTCCACCACATCTGTGACGTCGCCGTCCAGCATGCGGATGCCTGAAAGCACAGAGGAGCCTGGCCGTCAGCGCAGACGCTGGCCACCCGCCCTGGCAGCCTAGACAGCGATGCTGCGTCACAGAGCTCCCCAGAGGGAGCTTTCCCCACGCTGGCTGAGGTGAAAGAATAAAAATGACACCTCAGTCCACCTTGTAAAGTGCTCCCACTACGTGACAGCAACAAAGGAAACCGAGCTACTTCCGCAGGGAGGGTTCGAACACTGTCCCTCTGTACCACAACAGCACGCTAGCATCTAAAAATGCACATGTCACAATAGAACCCTGGAGTCTTTTTCAACATTCCCAGCTGTTAACAGTGTATGTTTATTTCTCTTTCCTTTATGACCCCAGCCCTGACGTATAGTTTACGATGAACCAAACAATGAGCTTTTCACTGGGAAGACAGAAGCCCACGCCCTGGCCTATCACAGGCTGGGGGGCCTGGACTTTCCTGGCCATCTCATCTCCATCTGGGTTCAGGTGCTGTGTTCCCTGGAGGGGTCTTTGGAGAAGAGGAGTCCACCTTCCTCAAGAGCACCCCAAAAGGAGAGGGGTGAGTAGGCTCCCACAGGCCTCTCCCAGTGTCTGCTGCTTGAGCCAAGTCTCTCCTTCCCCCAGGCACAGGGCTTGCCTCCATTACTGATCACACTCTGCACCCAGCAGATGCCCCCACCCCCAACAATGCCTGACCCAGAGAAGAAGTCTGGAATGCCCGGCATGAAACTGGGAAGCAGAGATCATGACAGCCACTGGCACATTCTTTCTGAATACTGCTAGATACATAAAGTCAGACTTCTCTGAGGCTCAGAAAACCTTGCCACCCACCCGGCAACAGCGCTCTTCAGGTAGCTTCTCAGCACCCCAGCCACCCCACTCAGAGGCCCCCAGGAGCTCCCTATACACCAGGCCCAGCTCTCAGTGTGCAATGACCAGGACTTTCATCCAAATGAGGTCTAAATCTTAGAGCTATTTAAGATGTAACAGAAAAGGGGATGCCTTCTTTTTTTTTTTTTCCTTTTTGTCTTTTTCCGTGTCCGGCAACGGATCGCAACCCTCAGTGTCGCCCCCGTACCGGACCGGGACCGGCAACGGGATCGCAACCCTCGGTGTTGCTCCCGCGCCTCGCTCAGCCAGTGAGCGGGAACTGGTCTGTATGTGGGATCCGAACCCTCGGCAGGAGCGCCGCCGCGCTTCCCAAGCGGCGCACTATAGCAGTGCGCCACCGGGCCGGCCCCAGGGGATGCCTTCTGATTGTAAGAATAATATGTGCTGGGCCGGCCCGGTGGCGCACTCAGTAGTGCGGCGGCGCTCCCGCCAAGTGTTCAGATCCCATATAGAGACCGGTCCGCTCACCTGTTGAGCGCGGTGCGGGTGCGACACCGAGGGTTGCGATCCCGTTGCCAGTTGCGGTACGGGCGCGACACCGAGGGTTGCGATCCCGTTACCGGTCACGAAAAAAGACAAAAAGGAAAAAAAAAAAAGAATAATATGTGCTCTTTGCCGAAAGTTTGGGAAATAAAGAAATAACCACTAATAATATTTGGTTTATTTTCTTCTAGAATTTTTCTTTGCAGCGTATACTTTCCAAATCCTTTCCTGCTCCCCACTGGACTTTATACAGAGCATTTTTCTGTGCCATTAAAGATTCTTCCAAGACATGGTTATTAATGGCTGCAGCACCCCCACCCCCAGCCCAGGTGACCCTCCTCTTGGGGCTCACCTCACCAAGCAAGAGTCCCCCTACCTTGCTGGACAGGACTGGGCGTCTTTGCTCTGTATCCCAGAATCCACATCAGTACATAGTAGGCATTCAGAAACAGAAACTTTGAATATAATTGACTATAAAAAACAAAGCAGGGGCCGGCCCGGCGGCGCACTGGATAGTGCGCCGCTTGGGAAGCGCGGCGGCGCTCCCGTCTGAGGGTTCGGATCCCACGTACAGACCGGCTCCCGCTCACTGGCTGAGCGAGGCGCGGGAGCAACACCGAGGCTTGCGATCCCGTTGCCGGTCCCCGGTCCGGTACGGGGGCAACACTGAGGGTTGCGATCCGTTGCCGGACACGGAAAAAAGACAAAAAAGACAAAAAAAAAAAAACAAAGCAGTAACTTTTCCCTGAGGTTAAAAGAGGTGGTACAGGACTCAGGCATAAGAGTTACAGGAAGGAGACCCTGGGAGGAGAGACCCTCCCCAGGTGCCCAGGGACAAATGCTTTATGAGAATTAAATCCTACTGCCCCGTCCATTTAGGCTGTAATTGTAGGAACACTCTGCTGTATCTTTGGATGGAAAACTGATGGGCAGAGATCCCTAACACATAAACTTCAATTTTTCCTGTCCTATAATCTCTCACCCAGTAGCACTAGATTGTAAACAAATAACTAAATACACTTAATGATTTGCCAGGGTGAGAAACTTCCTACCTAAAGATAATTTGAAGATTTAATAGCAGTAAATTCTTCCATCCTATCCATTTATTCTGCTCAGTTTTTAAGATTCAGGTTTTCCTAAGGTTTTCCCGTTAACATCTGTCCTGAAGTTCCCCACTCATGAGCCAGGAGAGAGAATACAAGAGTCACTATGAAGGTCTTGGGAGGCCGGGTTAGGGTAGTTGGGGGGGGGGCGGGGAGAAGGGGGACACTCCAGGACACAACACGTTGAACTGTACTTAGGTGGGACACTAAGCTTAACTGTGGAAGCCCCTGCTCCTAAAGCCTGGAAATCATACTCAAAATCAATGTCAGAGAAATTTACAGCAAGACAATAGGAAGGTTGAGATGTGGGTGACACTAGAAGTTTAACAGCAGTGCCCAGGGCCATTAGGGAGTGCCAGCTGAGTGGGCACCAGCCGCGATTGAGGGCGGGGCTGAAGTCATTGGACAGCCATCACATCACAGCTGCCAGGCCTTAAAACTGAGCGGAAGGAATAAACTTAACTCCAGTGTTATTTGCCCTCTTTCCTGGCTCTATTTTCTTCCTTTCTTTGCTGCCTTAGCTACCTGGATGCAGGATGGCACAGGAAGTCCACACTGTCCAGGCACAGAGATGGAACCACCTGGCCAGTGGGCTTAGAGTCTGGCCACCTGCTCCCAAGGGGAGGCCGGTAAAGCAGAGCTCTCACCCACAGACTCAGAGCCAGGACAGGGAGGCAGGCATGCCATGGCAAGAGCCTGCTGTGGCCACCAGCTGTGACCAGGGCTTGGCTTGGAGCTTCTCTCATCTTGCTAAGCCTCGGTTTTCTGCACACTGCCATGATGAAAGTTACTATGTCTGTAGAGATGCCAGACAGTTTAAGGATGATTCATGTAAAGTAAGCATTCAAGGTGCATGTCCGCCGCCAGTTTGACTCCAGTGGGCCTTGGTTTCCCCTTCTGTAAAAATGGGGGTGATAACAATACCTGATTACTTTTCCATTTTGTTTTCTAAAACTGTACTACAGGTGTGCAGTATCCTTTATCCAAAATGCTTGGGACCAGAAGTATTTCAGATTTTGAATTTTTTTTTTTTTTTTTGATTTTGGAATATTTGTAGATACTTAACCAGTTGAGTATCTCTAATCTGAAAATCCAAAATTTGAAATGCTCCATTAAGCATTTCATTTGAGTATTATGTTGGTGCTCAGTTTCAGACTTTGGAGCATTTCAGAGTTTTGGAATAGGGATGCTCAACCTGTATTGGATCTGTACAAAGGATCACATCACAGACATGTTATAAAGCCTATGAAAATAATGGACACCCATGAACCCTCTACCCGAAGCAAGAATGAGGATGTGACCCACTGGGGGACCTCTGTCCTTGTGTCCTCTCTGTCACCCCCTGCCTCTCAGAGGAAACTGCTCAGAATTTTGGATTATTCATTTCATTGCTTCTTAAAAACTACTGTTTTAATACAATTGTATGTTTGCTTAGATAATATATTGTTTAGTTTTGTCTGTACTGGGAATTAATCTTTTGTTGGTTATATAGGTTATAAAAACTCCCAGTTGATGCCTGTCTTCTCATTTTGTTTATGGTATCTCTTGATAAACAGAGATTCTTAATTTTAATAGAGTAAGAGCTCATTTCCCTTTGAAGATCAAGGGAGTCGTCATGGGGCCAAATCTTTCCTGGGTTTGTTGGCATCTATTGTAAGGTTTTACAGGCAGAGCCACTCTAGGCACGGTCTACGCAGGATGTGACATCAGCTCTTTGTACTTTCTCCTTTTTGAGCTCTGGGTGGAGAGGAGCAGTTAGGTGGCCCCGAAGTGCTGTCCTTCCCACCCAGCGTGGGGAGCTGGTTGGGGAGCTGGCCGTGTATCTGCAAGGCAGATGCAGAGCCGCTCATGGTGGGGGAAAAAAGAGAGGTGGAGTCAGCGTCCTGTGTTGGAAACTCAGCTCCAGGTGACCTTGGGCTATGATCTCAACCTCTAAATCCCTGTTTTCTACATTTACCTGGCAGGTAGTTAGAAGACTGATGAAAGTGTAAGTCGAGGCCTTGACACCTGGTGCTGCATCTCTTACGTCCCTAGTCCTTACATTTGGCAATGGACTCTCCAGGGCAGGAGACCCCATCAGCCACACAGGTGGCCAAAACCAATTCTGATGTTCTAGTGGTGACACTGAACCTGCTATTCTAGGACATTGAATGTGCTATTCTAGGACTTCTCCATACAAGTTATAGGTGTTAAAATGCTTATTTTTGAAAAAGAAGAGTGAGATGCCAGAAGACATTCAAAAATATATAAAAACATATGACCAGAATGATTTCCCAACACCTCTCACATGCTTTGCATCTTGGAGAAGACTGACTGATGTGTGGGAAAGCAGGCATCATGTATTTAGATTTTCATGAAGCATCTATTTCCCCAACACTGACAAGTTGCCAACAAAGAAAAGGTAAATATTTTCAGTAGAAACCTGCTGTTCCAACATAAGCTTTAAATGTGAATGGCTCTCTGGAAATGCCAAGTAGAAGAAAAACAGTAATCATTTCTCCAATTAAAAAAAAAAGACCCATTTACTATA